CTGCTGTATTTGTGCTTTTAACAGTTCTAATTTTTGAGGAGTTAGCACCTTAAGACAGAAAGGTATCATAAATAAGTAGTCAAATCCATTTATTTACACTGTGATAGCAGCAATAAAGTATTTCAAATCTGATTTTAGTAATCCTGCTTAATTTTCTGTGTTTTTCTAAAGAATTTTCAATAGTAGTTACAGAAGCAAAAAAAAAAAAATTAGTGAACTAAAAATATTCTGGGAAGATAACAGAAGCATTTAAAATGTCAGTATTTACTGGCAGAAGCAATACAAATGTCAAGCTGAATTGCTAAGAGATTTATCTCCTTTGTGGGGGAGGGGAGGAAAGAAAAGTGGTCTCACATAAAAGATAAAGAATTAGCATTTCAAAAAATTTAAACAGAAAGTGAATCAACCCCAAAGAATCAAAATGAGCAATACCAAACCAATTTTTTGTTGTTTTGATGCATCTTCTCCAAAAGATACATGGGTACTGCTTTGAAATGAAACTAATATCAGGAAACATTCCCTGCCTTAAGCTCCATGATGCACGGTATTTTGCTAAGTTTTCTTGGGTACAGTTAATACAGCAAACTATCTACCAAGGCAAAGCTTTAAAAAAAAGTAATAATCCACAGCCTGTCACATATTATAATTTATTATACTTTTCTTCCACTTTTCTATAGCCTGAAGTCCCTGAGAACTAATTCTAGTTATGGTACCAAGGCACATCTCCATTCGGAGTCTGGGATCCTTTGTTAGATGCTGTACTTGTTTCCTAAGAATTATATCCTGCATTAGTTTAAGGAAACAAACAGTTATGGAAAATGTCATCCAAGTTATCTTAAATGTTGGGGGGTTTTTGTTTGTTTGGGGGTGTTTGGTTTTTGGTTTTGTTTGTTTGTTTTGTTTGGTTTTTTTTAAGATGGGGAAAGCTGTCATCACGAAGAGAAACAAAATACCTATTTTTCCAGTCCCTTATCCCAACAGGTTTAGGCATCTAAGTTATCCTCCAGGGCAGATGATTCTCCCCATAACAGGAGAGTGCACGCAGACAGAGAATGAGGGTCTTACTATTAACATAGTATATAACAACAGGATTTGGAAGATTCAGTTAAACAAGAAAACAGTAATTTCATCCGATAGTCACTCTAGAGAAGAAACATTACTCGAGTTGGGTCAATTTCAAAATATCTGAAATATATTCAAGCTAGGAACATACATGTTACATAAACAGAAATATATGCATGGCCCTATTAGAGGATTAAATTCATATTAAGTCCTGTCAGTAAATTATGTCACCTGAATCTTCAGTTTTTCCACCTCTTGTGTTTTACCCAGCAACTCCTCTCGATATTCCGCAAGTAGTAACTGAAATTTGTCATGTACAGTCTGCTTTTCAACTAACAACCGCTGCAGTTCATCTTGTGATTTTGCATATTCTTCTTGTAATCTGCAAGATAAAAATACGTATTTATTTTATATTTACACTCTAAAATTAGATCTTAAAGCTCAAAAATCTCACATGCAGAAGCAAGCATGTAAACATGTAAGTTATGACTAAGCTATTAATATTCTCTTCCTGTTATATATTGAAAAGTTATCCCATATTTACAAGCATAAGTAGTATTTTGGAAACCTAATCTGCAATGTCTTAAGGTATTTTGACTTGTTTTTTTTCTAACATGAACAATGCTCAAATCTGTCCTTAAATACAGAAATAGCTAACACAGACACACACACACACAAATCCCTTCCACCTAACATTTAGTTTCACCTTTTAACAGCTCAAATGAAGAAACCTGTTTAAATTAGTGTACCTTAGATGTTCTGCCTTCATAGTTTGATAATTTGCTTTATGGTATTCACATCGCATTTTTTCATCAATCAGAAGTTTTTGTAATTCTTGTGAATTAGCCGTATCACCATTTCCAACCACAGGAGGAAGGAGACTGTCCAAAGCATCCATTTTATGATGACTGTTCACTATGACTATGGAGAGGACAAAATAAAATTTAACTTATAACTAATCTACAAGGCCATCCACTTTTTCTGCTGACATCCCAGAAGATCAAGTCACCTGAACAAATACAAGGACATGTAATTAGCAATTAAGTACATTCACAGTTCAAAGATTTCACACGCTGCTTTTGCTTTCAGTACAGAAGAATCCTGGCTCTGCTGTAACTCAGGTTAGAAACCTCTACCGAAAGGACAACTCTTCTCTGCTCATTCTGCCTGTCCTGAAAAGTAATAGCCCTTCCAGGGACACAGAATAAACTTAACCACGGAGATTATTTGAGTCAATACAAAATAAGCACAAGCACTTCTGACACATTATATGAAATGTTATTTTTACTTATGCTGTATGCTGAGAATCAAACTATGATGTTAGTAATGCCCTAATTATACCTTGTTAACCAGGGTTCAAGCAGAGGCCACAGACATCAGAGACATACAGCTTTTACTACTATTTATCACAGTCACGGTCTGTCACACTATCCTAACAAGTTGTACTACTCAATACACCATCGTTTCAGCTGGAAGAAGAGCAGATAATTCTCACTGCTAAATTCCTATCAAGCCCTCTCTGGGAGAAGAGTTAAGGTTTCACAGACAGTCTGGAAGATACCTACCCAAAGTTCAACCCTGAAATATCATTGATACATGTCACTTCCTTGTTTTCAAAGTTTATCTGGTGGTTTCTTGTGACCTTTCCAGAAAGAGTTTTGCTAAATGTGACAATATCAGATTGGTGTGTGAAAGCTACAAATTGACAGATGCTGAGAAATGGGGAAGTATTCTAATATGCCTCATTAATTTTTCTCGATATTAGAAGCAAGATGAATTAATCTGATCATTACTGACACTTCTAATGGATCTGGGGGAAGGAGAACTGTAACTGAATTTTAGGGAAGTTACAAAGCTTTGAAACCAACTACTCTGCCATTTTAGCTTTTGGCATAACTGGACTGCTTAAGAGCTCCATGTTTGCAGTGTACAAAGCTTAATTAAAAAGTTACAAGTGTAACTTTGTACTAAGTAAAACTCAAACAGGAAAAACGTCAAATCTCCACCATTGCAAATACCTCACTTTCTTTACACATACAGTTGAATATGTAACATTTTCTACCATTCCACTCTAAATCTTTCATGGACCTATCTTAAACACTTACCATTCGGTTTTATAAACCACTGAACTATAAGCAAGATGAAAATCTGTCTTCCATCTAGGAAAATAAACATTGCGTGTCAGTGTCCATTCCACTAAAAGACAAAACGGTCAAGAAAGTCTTATATTTAAGTTTTCTTTCCCATTTTTCCTTCCTCCATCACTAAAATGGGAAAAGGTCAGAGGAAAATCTACCAGAGTTACAACACTAGCATAGGCAAAGCTACTACAGCAACTTTGTATTCTCCTTCACTCATATTTGCTGAGAGGATAAGGGGGAAGAAATCAGAATAAAGAACATTCACCTTGGTGACTGTCCTATACGCGCAATCAATTTCAAACATTAATAGCACAAGTTCTGAAGAACCTTCTAATTTTTCAGTCCTGAATTTTGTTGGTTGTTGAGAAACAAAGCACAACAGCAATTTCCAAACTCAATATAGAGACATTTTCAATTGCTAAGCCGACAGCTGTATGAGAAGAAATGGTCAATGATCCTAAGAACAATAAACCACGTGAGAGGATAGAAAGTTCTGGTACGCAGAGAAAACCCAAGGCAGCACATCCCTAAGAATTTCTAAGCATACCAACAGGGTTACCATGATCACTGTAAGAAAAAACAAAACAAACCAGCCAGCAGGCAATAGTACTTTTCTCTGTCTCAGGTCTTTGCTTTCATAAGCTAGAGATACCAAATGTAACTATTGAACTGTAAGCCAAAGCTGAGAATTAGGAACACAGGCTTTAAAGTCAGGTCTGAATCCTGCAGCTTACTTAAGAAGTACTTCTGAAATGGCATAACAGATATACAGTCAAAGACACAAAAAAAACCACAGTGTTTTCTGAGAGCTTATCAGCCAAAAGAAAAAGATAAATGGAAATGCAATTTTTTGTGCTCTCAATTCCAAGCTGCTGCAGGTGGGAAATACATTCTCTCCTCACAGCTTTTACTACTATGAAAGAGTGCATAAATCATCAAGACAGTCACACACTTGGGCATGTATTCATCTGCATGAGGAAAAAAGGGAAGAACCGAGGGGAAAAAATTGTAGCTTACAAAACCATTGTTTGAGATTTCAAAAACCTAAGCATTAGGTAGTTAAGGAAACAAATCTATTTTGGCTTGCAGGGACATCTAGTGGCAAGTTTCATGATTTGCATTCGTGGTGACAACTGGAACAAACTACAATAACAGAGATATCATTACTTGACGAGAGCTTTTTCCTTGAAATCATTAATAGCAACTGGTAATATTTAACCTACTCACATTCTTACAAATAAACCCCTTTTTTTTCCTCTAAATCATAAAATAATTCCTGGCAGTGAACTGTCAATAGTCAACATCATTCAGGGCTACGAATATTTTAAGTATAGTACTAAAAATAATTTCTTCTGTGCTAATGACTTACAGTACTTGCTCATAGTCGATGAATAGACCTTAAATAATCTTCAAAATTACACAAGACTACACCCATATTTTTGAGAAATACTTTAAATGAACACTAGTTAAAATTTCTTTCTCTTTGAGATCTGTTCAAGAAATAGAGAACCATAAAACATTCTTTAAAGAATCTAAAACCACATCACATCTAAAATTAATTCTCCATTTATATATTTGCCAAATTTTATCATGTTACAGAACTGCAAACTTGCATCAGTTGCCCTGAATTCATACTATGAAATTTTAACATCAGTTTGTGTGGATATACATATAAAGGTATTGGTGCAGTCCTGAAATCTAGGAAGCACACGCTCAGCAGCTAAAATAGCAATATTTATTGTAGAATATCTAGCTAAGTGAAGTAACTCAGTTACATTTCCAAGAATCACCTTTTTTTGCCTTCTTCTCCAGTTGTTTATTTTCATAGAGAGAAACGTTGCTTAAAGACCTTCTTCACATCTCTCTCTCCTTTATATCTACACATCATGAAAGGGATTTTCTTCTTTTACAAGATTTTTCAGCTACATTATTTTAACTTTTTGTTGGCTACAAGCACTTAGAAGGCGAGAATACTTGCCTTTAGAGAAAAATATGGAGATATCAATATAGTTTTATTTATTTATATTACAATTTTTATTTTATGTTGTTTACAACAACACTTCCTTCCTGCTTACCTGGCATAGTCAAGTTACATGATTTCAGCATGTACTGGCAATTCACTTGGATGACATATATAACTCACTCATGGCTCTGCTTTCCATACCACGGCCACACTTAAAACACATATATTGATCGTATTTGAACACTGTTTTAAACAGATGATACAATGAAGTAATTTTGCATCTATTGATGCAAAAATTAACAGTATCTAGTGCCGTGTTTTGTTCAAGCAGTAAAATTCTCAGTAAAATCTGTTGAAAGCCAAACAGCTGTTTCACACAATGTATGGTTTAATCCATTCACCTGCTTTTGTCAAACTCCAGGCCTCTTTATACTCTCTTTCTTTTCTTTTTTCTAATCAAATCAGCCAAGGTCTTGTGAAACAATAAATTATTTGCCTGAAAGAATAAGTGAGATACTCAAAGGAAGCACAGCCTCATGAAAGTGACTACCCCTTCTCACCCCTGCTTAAGAGTCTACAGTGACTAGATAATGAACTAATGAAAAAGTGTAATCCGACACAAGAGCTCACTGTCACCAGGAATAGGAGGTTCCACTCCTCCTTTCTTCATCCCCATTCCTAGATTTGTCATTCATCAGAGCCTTCCATGAGCTGATTTAACTCAAGAAGCCAACACACTTCAACAAGCAGAAAACACTCAATAGTTTTTCTGTGAGGTCACTGAGTCACAGCAGCTCATGGAAACATCCAACAGGCTACATCATCAGTGAAAGCAGGCAGCTGGTACTGGCTAGAAGAAAGGAACAAAGAGTCAAGTGAATAGACAGGAGGAGGAGCAAGGCTTTCTCCTTTCAGGAACTAAGAGTCAAGTAAATAAACAGGAGGAGGAGCAAGGCTTTCTCCTTTCAGGAACCAAGAGTTGTCACATCATGAGCTCAGATGTTCATGAAATCACAGCCTTCAACTAGATATCCAGCTTTTAGACACTCAAAGTTAAGTGAAACAAATCCTACCTTAAATGATTATGCAACACACTAATGAGAGATCAGACTTCCCATGAACATCAAGTGAATAAAAACAACACAAAATTATATATAATTTGAGAAATATGATAGCATACGTCTCATTACTTTAATAGTCCGTATTCTACTAATCCATCATCAGCAACTTGCCAAAGTTAACACCTTAAAAAGATATATAGAGAAAGAGAGACAGAGGAGAAAAAAAGTATCAAAGAGAAACATGAAAACCTTTATTACAGGAAGTTCTAGATACTGCTCAGATACCACTGTAGGGAATCCAGTCACTTAATACCTCTGCGTGCCTAAGTGCAGAAATTTTGGAGGACATCTGTATGATGTCTTCTATAACATAGAAGTCAATCTCATTCAAATTACTATCACTTCCTCCACAACACTCTTCAAAGTACAAATTCCAACAACAATTAAGCATACATTATTTCAGTGTCCATCCTTACACATGGCACACAGCATCACCCTCTCAATTTCTGTCTTATACTAGAGATATGGTTAATTGTTAGCTGAAAAGCAATAAACTTATATCTTAACTCAGGATTAAAATTTTTGCTTTAGCCACGTACATTACTAAGTCAAACTGACAGCAGTTACTGATCAAACTGAAATTTTGTATGTGAGCTACAGCTGGTAAATCTTGCTGTACTCAAGAACAACTAGTCTACATATGCCACATATGTTTTCCACTGTTTTTTCATTA